CAATAGTATATTACTTTTCTAGCACATAAAAAACCCTGAGTTTGATTCCCAGCATCACATAAACCAAACATGGTTGTGCAATACCTATAATTCCAGTACTTGCAAAGGGGAAGCAAGAAGTTTGAGGTCATCCTTGTCTAGATGGTGAGATTGAGGCCAGCATAGGCTACTTGATATGCATTCTCAAAACAAAACAAAAGTAAAAAGAAAAGGAGCAGAAAATAACAACAAATGACAAAATAATGATAATATAATAATAAGTCCTTATAGGATGGTAGACATGAAATAATCATTTTGAATTATTAAGAACAATTTAGTCCATTGTTAACATTTAAATAAATATTTTATTTTGGAATTATGTTAGACTTATGGAAAAGTTATGAAGGTAATATAAATTTTCTTTTAATCCACATTGATTAGTAACAGCTTTTATTGATCTTTATATTTATCATAATTAGTGAACCAGTATAGATTTATTATGAGTTAACATTGTAAACTTCATGAGTTTTTAGCTAATATACTCATATTTCACCAAAAAAATATTCTTAAGAATTTATATATGAGCCAGGAATGGCAGCACAAGCCTTGAATCCCAACACTCTGGAGCTAGAGGCGGGCAGATCTCTGTGAAATGGAGACCAGTCTGGTTTCCATAAGGAGTTCCAGACCAGCTGGGGCTATAGGAAGACCCTGTCTCAAAAAACCAAAAGAATTTATATTTGAGTATATATTATATATATGTATTTATTTACATGAATAGTTAAAATGGTGAGCTTTCTTGCCTAAAAGTGTCCTATTCTTGAAAGATACCCTAAGAATTTGTTCTTCATATTCAAAATTAACATAATTGGAAAAAGTTCCTTAAAATAAGATAAGAATAGTAAACATTAGGTACAAACAAAGCCTTTATATTAAGAACAAGTATTTGTATAAGTGATTGCCAAGTATGAGATTTATTTTTAATTATCTCCAAAGAGATGAATTGATTTTCTTGCTCATTTAGACATTTGTACATAGGAAAGTAGAGACTCAAATTGGGTAATCTGGACCTCTGCCTCTACACAGATGGAATAGCAGCAGGCTTTATTCTTGAATTGAAATAATCATAAAAGTGGACACACTATATGAAAGATGGATATTTTCAAGGCACGGGGCAAAACACAAATAAAGCACAATCATCCTTGAGTGACATGGCGAGAGAAGACTTCCAAGGTTCACCAAGGCCTTCACTGAATCTCAGTGATCATGCAGGCAAGATAAATGCATAAAGCTGGGGTAGAGATTCCTGAAAGAATTGGTGGAGAGACACCCAGAGCTCACGTCATTTATGTTCCCACCAAACAGAGGGGAAAAATGGTCAAGAATCAAAAGGATTTTCTCTCCTCGCTGACGCAAAAGTAATTAGAAATTGCTTACTGAGTTTCACTTAATTTTATATGCAATCAACATTCAAAAGAATCAACCTGCTTCCAACATAAATCATCCATGACCCAGAACAAAGCTCAGGAATATTTACAGAAACTCAAAATTATGCACCAGACACAATGTTGAACAACAGAACCTGGCATCCAACGGCCAGTTGCCAAGCATGCAAAGACAGATGGGAATAAGACCTCTAGTAGGCAGGAAAACAAGCCAGTCAAAACAAGACCACAAATGACACAGGTAATGAGATGATAGGGGAGGACGTTGGGGCAGCTGAACTGTGCCGATGTGCTTAAAAAGTTAGAGGAAAAGTATTCATACTAGAGAATTGGAAAATATAAAGAAGTCTCAAATCAAATTTACAGAGATAAATACTACAATGTCTGAAATGGAAAATACAGTGAATCAAAGTAAAAGATCAGACACTATGGAAAGAAAAGTTAACAAATTTCAAGACATAGAAGAATTAAATTCAGAGAGAAAAATGTAAAATGAGACAATACTTTCATTAATCAAGTTCTCTGCTAGCTTTATAAATTCATAGTATTAAGTGAGGATAGGGCTAGAAAAGAAACTTGAATTCTATCTTCTGCTAATATTTGGACGTAATTGACTTTTATCCCTACTGATCCCATGGCCTATGGCAACTCTATGCCATCTTCTTGCTTCTTCTGATTTTCTTGAAATTATGACCCTGTATCCTTTTCATTCACTATCCATCTGGAGGCTATACGTAGCATGCCATGGTTTTACCATAAAACATGAGCTGATAATTCTATGACCGAAGATGATAGAGGCAGGAGGAGATATAAATGACAGGACACACAGTATACCACTTTCTCATGTCAGCCCTTCTGTCCTCTTCCGTCTAGTTGTCTTTTATTTCATTTGATTCTTGGAGTTCCACAAGGCTCATACCTAAAGAAAACAAATCAGCTTTCTCCAAATTTTGCACACAAATTTAGTTATCTTCCCCAATCAATGAATGCAAAATAGCAAATTAACCTCCATGTGAAATGAGGACTATAGTTTGTATTTGCTTCCTGTTCCCCATATGATTAACTCAGGGGAGACAGGCAGTAACATTAATATTCTTTTGATATATAGGACATTTTTCTGCATAAGTATTTATAAATATAGTATAGCAGAGATAAATATACATAAATCACCTTTTTACACTTCACCAAATATACATTTGTATTCTAAATGAATAAAAAAGGAGATTTACTAATCTTATTAACAGTAATGTCCAGTTAGCTAAACTATGTATCTTCAATGGTAGATGTAGCTATGGGGATTATAATCTGGAATGTTCTCTATTCAGTAAGACAGCAGCATAATTCCATGATTAATTACTGACAAATTCAAAATTTTGAAATATAGACCCACATCAGACCTGAATCTGGAAGCTTCATTGCTTTATGGGTTTCATGTTACTAGAAAACTTAACTCTGTGGAACTTGGAAATATATATTGCCTATGGTACATTGAATTATCAGTTGGCCCATGTTTACAATAAAAAAAAAGATCTCCAAGATTCCTCAGGGAAGGTGAGGTGTGTTGTTAGTTATCACAGACACCTCCTTATTCAATAAAAAGAATTATAATCTGACTGACTCAATTTTTAGTTTATCCAAGAATCATAAAGTGTGCTTATTAGCGCAATGGATTCATATAAACAAGACTGTTGAAATGCACACAGAAGCAGAGGCACACTGCATGCCAGGGTGGAAGTTTCCTGATGTCTCAAATGGAGAAGTCACTTTAGTAACTACTAAGTTCTAATGACTGAGACAGAGACTTATTAGAATTTCTAGGAAGAAAAGTCAGCTGTGGATGTACTTATGGCTGAGGAATGCTCTTTCAGACTAAAGGAACACACTACTGCCCACAAGCTGCAGTTTATCATAGCAATATATGACTAAACAACAAAAAAATAAATAAAAATGGACTCAGTTGAGGCTACGCTGGATTACTGTACTTTTGCTCAACTTCCTAACCAACTTCACTGAGGGCTTGCTGGGTGGATAACAACCAAAAATCTTTTCATCCATTTCTTTTTCAGTAATTCCTGAAAGATGCTGGTCAGATGGTTTGAAATGTGATAGAATTTTATGTATGGCATAACAAAGAACTGGGCCCAGCTCAGGCTGCCTGCCATAAGGAATGGGGAAAGGGCTTCCGCATACTTGACGGCCCAGCGCCATCCGGCTTGGCAATGACAACCTACTGAGAGATGATCTACCTGGAGACAGACTGCCATTGGATATTGCAGGATGGCGTTGGAAACCATGATTGGCTAGCCAACCCCTTAGAACCCCAAAGGCTTCCCGGAATACACGAGTCTGCAGCAGCTGTGTCCCCTCTGGCTGGCTCCAGGGAGGACAGTAACAATTTTATATGCAAAATTTTATACACCTGAGAGTACAATAATAGTATCCAACTCATTACACCTGCCTATAGCTGCACTGGCCACGAATGTTGGCTGCTGTTGCTTCAAAATTCAGAAAAGTAAGCCTGAAGTCTGAGGGTAAGAAAAGTATTCTACTTAAGATCTATTACTTTCCCATACCAACAGGTGCCACCAAATGTATGCTTTAAGAGACACAATGATGTAAGGCCAACCGGCAAATGAAACCTTTGAAAATACTTGACTATATTTCAAATTGTCGTTTTCCCATTAACTAACAGGGAACACATGATTTACTTCAAAGGAGATTGTGTGTGGGAAGATAGTCTTTGGAAAATACTTATTTGAAATCTGGCTAGCAACACACCACTCTCTTTATATTTACAATATCATTCTGAAATTCACATAGGTAAGCATACTTCAAGATAAGATATTGCCTTGTTTCTAACAAGGCATGTATGCTAACACCTTCAGTTTCATTCTAGTAAAAGATAAAATAGTGGCACATACACTCATTGGGTGTGGATCTTTGCAAAACTTAATGAGGATTTTCAGTTCAGTTTGCTTCACTGGGAAAGACACTTGAAAATGCTAACTATGACAGGTTTCCAAAGATGAATTGGTTTTGATTTAGGTTAATTCTTCAAAGAACAAAAGATGAATTTTGGTTCACAGGTCTAAATTCTAAATGAATTAAAAAAAAAGACTTTTCAAAATGTATCAGTTCTAAAAATATTAATATGTAAAATATTCAGACACATTATGTTTGGTTTTATTAAAAAGGAAATTCTCACTAATTATATAGAGACAGTAGTGGATTTTTAACAGCAACTTCAAGAAACTGTGAAGACTGTTTAAGGAAAATTATTCCTAATAAGTGATTGAATGAGGAAGACCCCTAATTTTGCAATGATAGTCATTTGAAAGGTGTGACATTGATAATGTGTCTTTTATTAGTTGTTGTTAAAGTGCTTAGTAAGCAAGTAAATGTTTTTATGAGATGCTGTGCAAATGTTCCTAAAATATGACCAGGGTATGGGCTATAGAGGGAACCAACGCCCAGCTCCAGAGTATAAAAAGGGAAACGTTCTGCAGATAGCAAGCACACTTCAGCAACTTGCTCTCTCCATTTTGACTGAGGACTGACTATCTTTCTATAGCAACCATGTCTAACATTTGCTACTCAGAAACCTCCAGCTCTCCTTCCCTTAGGAATGCTCCCCATAACCCTGTCACCTCACCCAGTGGCCTCTGTCCCACTGAGGTGAGCTGCAGAGAAGCCCCCTGCTCTCCTACCAGCAGCCTGGGCAGTAACACGCCGGACAGCTACCATGAGCACTGCAGCGAACACACAAGCTGCCAATCAATCAGCTGCGAAAGGGGCCCCAGCAGCCCGCCAGGCTGTACTCGCATTGCTTCTGGGGTATCTGGACCTCAAGAAGGAACTAGCGGTCTTCCTGTCACATCTCGTGGTTGCAGTTTCTGTCGTCCAGGATCCTGCAGACAACCTTTCAGCTGCCGTCTTCCAAGTTACCAGTATTATGGATGTCAGCGCTTGGGCTACCTGACCTGTGGCCGTCAACCACTAAGCTGTCGCCCTTATAATTGTGCACCACTGACAAATCTAACCTATGGATACCAGGCTTTCAGCTGCATGCCCAACTACTATAAGCCCACAAGCTACACATACAGCAATTTTCGACCACTCTTCTCTTCCTCGACTGGATGGCAGTATCCCTACTAAAGAGAATCATCATGAGCAGCTCAAACAACCTCATGCTGCTGGCTTTGAGCCATATCATCTGACTTCACATTAAGGGCTCTTACTCTGCAGGGCCACATTGTGCATTTTCTTTCTAGGCTAAATCTCTTCAACTAGGCTTTTGGGTGCTTCAGGAATGTGTGTCACTTGCTTTAGTAGTTTTAAAGATTGGTATTGTTCAGCCTGGGTTAATTCTTTTCCTTTGTTTTCATCCCAATTAAACCGCAGCTTGGCAAAATACAATACTTATCATGTGTCATCTTCTGTATGGATTTTATCTTACCAGGGGCTATTCCCTTGGAATATGTCAGGTACCTCAGGCAACACTAATGATCGTTTTGGATTAACCATGGGTGATATTGAATGTATCCAGAAGATTTTAAGAGATTTATTAAAAGACAGTTATTAAAAATATGAAAGGAGGGCCTGATGTCAGGGCTTAGTGGGTAAAAACCTATTCCCCACCAACCTGGCAACTTGATTTCAATTCCTGAAATCTGCATAAAGGTAAAAAGAGAGAACAAACACATACTGTGGCATGCCCCCAACATCATGCACACACAATAATAATAAATGCCATGTTTTAAAATTATAGAGGCACATAGAATAGCAAAACAGTGACTGCTGAAGTGCTCACGTATCACATGGATGAACTTGAAATTTAATATTAAGTTTCTTCAGGAAACAGGACATTTAGCTTCATCAGGATGTTGCTAGAAACAATAAGGTAAGTATTGTAACCTTATTGTTAACATAATCCCACAAATACATGCTGGCTTAAACTCTATCGTTCTTCTGAATCAATGGGTAAAGACAGAAAGCAGCATAGCCCTCATGCAGTCATTCAGAGAGTAACTGACAGAAACCTCACTATGATGTGGCATCCTACATCACCCTTCAGGATATATTCCCCACAGCTCAGCGAGGGAGGAACTCAGCACCTTGGGTTTGCCTATCCATAAGAGAGGCTGTTGCATTTGATGACATTTTATACCCAAGAAGAAGGGAATATAGAATTTGCAGACAGTCTGACACACTAATCAGAATTAATGGAAAAATATAAAAAGATAGAAGAATGAAAACAGAATGTGCTCACTTCCTGCCAAATGAGCTACACTCTGACATACGACTGAACATGAGCACCGTCTGACAGACCTCATGTATGTGGCACTCTTGTTTGGCTGAACACACCTCAGATGCACTCAGTTTTATTTTCAAGTTGTACTGTAACCACAGAGCTAAACTTACACTTTTTCAAGCCACCTTCTTAGTAGTTCACCTCGGCTTAAAACTTCTGTAATTTACTAAAATGATCATAATACCCATATCCAGGCACTATGACTTGACTTGATTTTGTCAGTACCAAGTTGCATTTCCTTTGCTATGAGGAATACAAAGAGTAGCTAGCATGCAGGAGGCACTTCTTATCATTGCTACACTGACCTTTCTCTGCCCTGATCCTTTATCAAAAGTCAATAGGTTACAAACAAAAAGGCTTATATTCAGTAAACTAAAGCAAGATTTCTCACATAATTATCTATGTGTCTATCTATCTCTACAGTTTATATATATATATTTGTATA